ATTTTTTTGTCGCTGCAGTGAAAGAAGTTCAAGCGAGGACGGGGAGCGGGATGACGGGGATTCCCGGCTCTCGTTCGGAAGCACTTCGCCCAATCAGGAGGCGAACGAGGGGGGGAAGGAGGGGGGAAGGAGGGAGAAACTGGGACATTTCCGTGTTATCAGCCGCGGTCGTTTTTCACTCCTCGAGGCCATTTCGAAGAAACATGAATTTGCGCCGGCAGAGGCATCGATGAATTATATGGTGAATTATGTGGTGAATTATAGGTGAGAGTGGCGTCGGCCCGGTTATGTACCTCGGCGCTTCCTTTCTCACGGAGAAATAGTTGGCGAATAGTGCGCTAATATGCGAGATAATATGCGCGCTGAAATTGAGGACTTTTTAATTATTAATACTTTTAAATAGAAAAACTTTTGGAATAATTAAATAGTGGAAACTGTAATTTTAATAATGAGAATAAACTTCTGAGAGCATTTAATTGAATTTAATCAGCCTTAATTTATTTATATTATTATTCAGACTTAATTATTATTCAGACCGAATGACTCGGTCCTTGAGGCTGATCGACACTTTTCCACGACAAAAAAAAATGTAATTTCTTACCAAAATAATTACCATGCAATTTAGTTAATTTCCAGATATTCCCACAGATTATCCTGCATTTCTCCCCGATGAGATTCGAGGAAAAAAAAAAAAATCAAAAGACTCACTTTTGTTGGAGTCTGAGGAGATGAGCCTGCTCCTGGAGGAGTTTCTGCTGCTGCGCCTGGAGGAGTCCGGACGCAGAGGGCTCCTCTTTCTCCCCGGGATTTGCATTCGGAGTTGGATTCCGGTTCTCACCGGAGGAATTTCCGTTCCCGTTCCCGTTCCCGATTTCCTCCCATCGTTCCGAGATCCCTCGCAGTTCCTCCGCGATCTGCTCCAACCGCTCCTGTTTAAACCGTTCCTGTTTAACGCTCCTGTCAACCGCTCCTGCTAAACCGCTCCTGTCAAATCCCTCCTGTCAACCCCACGGACTGCAGACTACGGAAACCGCTCCCATCCCCGAATAACTTCGCACGGCTGAACTAAGTTTGAAGAGGAAAAAGCTCATTCTGAAGGAAGGAAGCACCATTAGGGCTAATTGGTTTCAACGACTGACGAGCAAAGACGTTGCGTCAAATTCCAAGGTCTTTTGCGAAGTGATGCTCAAACAAACGTTATTTTTAGATCGCGTCAGTTTTTTCCTTGTTTTTTTTTTTTCCGCTGACATGTGCTTTTCGCAATTTCATCGCGCACTTCGTTTTAATCACGACCACTTTCGGTCCCGCAATTTCTCCGAAAAATTCGTCGTAATTGCTCTAATTAAATAATTAAAAAGGAAGATCTGCCGAAGATAACGACCTGTCGGCGTTTCCGGGCGTCCCCGCCCGAATTGGAATCCATGCTGAGATCCTGCGCCTCGGCCCTGGGCCGCTTGCTGGGGCCCTCGCCCGACTCGCTCTTGCCAGACTGAGACCTGCAAACGAGAATTCTAATAATAATAATATTAAATTAAATAATTTTAAAGTCATAGATAACAATAAACAATAATAAAATAAATACATTTTAAAATAATAAATAATTGAAAATTAAATAAAT